ATAACTGTTGACTGTAAGCATGCCTATGGCCTGCTTTTAAAAAAATTGATGTGTCACGGTATATTAGTCATGCCATATTTGTATTTTGTGCCCATGCTCCATAGGACTTTATCAATAATGAACAAGAACAATATGATGCATAATCAAAGTGAAACATACTAAAAAGCTTCCTCGCAAAGAAAACAAAATTAGCAGGGCAGATAAAGTAGACTAATACAATAATAAAAATACCTTGAGAGATGCTTCTTATCTGCCTTTGTCTGTGCTGTGTGGTGGTAAGCCCGTAGTTTGGCAACCAACTCCGTAGCATCCTTAGCAGCATTGACAGCAAGTACCTGCACAAACAAAGAACATGCAAATGACATTGATGACACCTTGAAACATAAACATAGCTCACTTGTTAAGACATCTACTCCTTCCTTAGGAGTCAGAGGTTCGAATCCCCAAACCCACACATTTGTTGTACTATACCTTGGGAATAATTAATAAAGATTCAGCAAACTCAGCAATTGCCAACTGCTCACGGGAGCCTAGAGTTGTGGCAAGGTATTCCAAATACACAGATAAAGCAGATTCAACTGCACCACCACCTGCTACCACCTGTATGATCAACACAACGACATAAATAGGTAATTGGGCAACTGACTAATGAAAAAATATAAGTTTTTGGTTCCTGCTGTCAATCTATCGCCCAATTATCTTGGTTCAACTGCACCACCATCTACCCTCTACCATACATGAGATTGCAACCTAAAATTTTAGTTTTAATAATGTAATTTCAGCCACCCCTAATCTAAAATGGTTTGGTGGTAGATTTATAATCTTTCTTTATAAAGAAACCAACATTCATATTGAATTTGGATGCAGTTGGCTTTTCCTGTTGTAAAAGAGTTTTTTATCTAATGGTGTGTGGATTCCCTTTCCAAAGAAAAGACTGAAGTATTCTGGACAAATGTGATTAACTTGTTGGGAAATTTAACTTAAAAGGAACGGGAGAAGCTTTCAGGAGAGATAGGAACATCTGGGAATGTTGGTATATTATTTGTTATTTATCCTCTTATAGGAATGCATCAGATAGGGCTTTCTTTGTAATCATTCTCTTCTGTTAGTGTGCTATTGAAGTCTTAAGAGTTATTTGACCTCCCTTGTCTTTCGAGGTTCTTTTATTATATTTAATTCCATTAGTGAAATATTTTTAATTCCTTAGCTTGGTGCAAAAGGCTTCTTGCAGGTCCTTTTTCAGCCCATCTCGAATATGATCCTCATCCATAAAATTATTCACCAACAATAGAAATTCCCAGATCAAATAACTGACCATATAAGCAATTAATGAGTACACAACATGATGTAAATACAGAAGATAAGATTACACGGGATACTCAATTCCAACTCACACCAAGCATTACCGTATTGGACTCGAGGGTCCTTTTGACAATAGATAATGCATCATGCAAAGCCCTCTCCATCTCATCAAGCATATAGTCATTTGCGCCTCTAAGAATCAAGGAAACCTACAGAATAATATTTTAAAAAATAAGCAGATTATATCACAAGGCTATCATATTATTTCCCATTGTTCAGCACCCATGCGAAATCTTATCTATTTTCAGAACAAGTCTAATTTTTTAAGGCGAAGATAACAATTTGAAAAATATATCATGATCAGAATAAATACCTAGCATTCTAACATCATCTACTTCAAGAATTAATAATTTAAAACCATTAGGTTTGAAAGTTGGCTTCACAACAGCTTGAGCAAAGTAACTGACCGCACTAGTAGTTTTAGAACCCTTTATCATAACAACATCATCATCAGCAATTCTCTCCTCTACGACCTCATCAGCATATCCAAGAAGTGACGACTCAAAGGTTTCCTCCCCCTCCATGTCAGCAAATGTCGAAACCTGCAGGCCCATGAACAGTGAGGATGACAATTAATAACAAAAAAGACAATAGCTTGAAGTACAAGATATTGGCATAAGATATAAGACATTATACAAAAAAATGAACGTAGAAAGTCCCAGAACATGAAAATCAGTGGCTCAGATAAGGAGCTCGGAAGCTTCACTTCACTGAAAAAACCTCACATAGAAGACTCAGTCTCCGCAAGAACACAAAAAATCAAATGCCCTCCCTTCCTGTCTATACCCTCCTCAGAAGGATACGACCATTAGGTCATAGGAGTAACTAGTAAGAAACGAAACCAAACTGAGTAGAGTCCGTTTGGTTAACCATATTGATTCAGTTTATCAGTGTTCACAGCTTTCACTCACCTCCCAGTCCAGTAACTCATGATCCAAACTGGTTTGGTTCAATTAGGTCCTCCTTCAATAATTGGTTTGATTCAGTCCCGATGATATATGAGACTGAAGCTGAACTGAACAGTTTGCTTATTTTGGTCAAAAACAAAATCAAACCAAACCAATTTACACTGTCAATCGGCCCTACTTACCAAATTACAAAAATGGTGATTCTACCATGAACATAAAATACGCATAAAGAAATCTAAGACTTAAACGTGGGATTAAATTGCATTGTGCCAACTTATCAAAAAGTCTCAATAGACCTAAAAAATATGGATCAAGAGATAACCACTGGAAAAAACTAATGAAACAATAACGAAAGCATAATGCACAAAAAAAGTGATCCAAGCATGCAAAGAGAATTATGAAAATACTTTATTTCCCTAAGTATAATATAATGGAAAGAGAATGAAAATAAAGATCTTCTATTTAGCAATCTGCTCAAGCACAAGCAACCATAACAATGTTCTCCACATATAAGAAACATAGTGTAGAAAATACATGTAAGCTCTCAACCAAAATTTGGAAGACCTTCAACAGTGAAATAAATGGCTCAGTAAATGAAAAGGGACAGTTGATACATAAGGAAAGCATAACTACTAACATACCATGGTTGCTCCAGTAGCCTTGGCGACATGGCGCATGTCCTCCTTTTTTACTCGTCTAACAGCAATAGCACCCGTCTCCACAAAATACTGACATTAGAGAAACAAAAAATGATTAGACAATTAAACACACTCAAAGAGAAATTAAAAAAAATGTCAACAAGTTTAAGTTTTTTCTATATATCAAGGACATCATATACAAATACAGCAGAACAAATTAGTCCTTACACAATCAGTAAAACAATTGAAACCAACATTCCATTTCCCCGATTCCGATGATGTAATGGCAAAAAGATTCAGAAACATAACGCCTCGGAAGATTACTGTTTACTAAAAATTACCCAAAATATTCTTTATAATTGTTTACCATTGTTTTCCAAGAAGCACTGGACACGATCATAGACAAAACAAGAAGTCAATTTAGAATGACCCCAGAGCCATACCACCCAGGCCCACATAAACAAACTAAAATAGGAAAAATTTTAAATTAGATATGTTGGAATGCATTTCATTAGCTTAATTTAATGGATGCGAATTTTTAATCAAAAAATATATATGAGATGCACAACATTAAAACACAGGACAGCTAACATAACAGAGAATGACATAAAATGATCCCAGATAAGTAGCAGACACTAATCAGTAGGGTATATATCTGTAAGCAGTTAAATGAGAAAACAAAATCTAAAGCAGCCTGCCTTGAGTGCCATGTCATCAATCCCTTTCGTGGTGAGAACAACATTTGCCCCAGCTTTCAGAAGCTTTTCAATGCGTTCTTTCATCATATCAGACTCCCTGTGAACAAGATGTGCAATAATTGCCAAATAAAAAGGTTAAATAATACAATAATTCTAAATTTTGAAGGCAACTACTTAAAAGTTTTCCCAAAAGAAAAGGTATAAAACACGTGAAATTTCCAAATAGCAATGGCAGTGAAGTGAATTTTTAGGAATAAAAAATCAATTTTACTCTATGGAACATTTGGGCGCATCAAGCTCAAAAGAAATTTGGGTGCCATCTATTACCGCTGACGAATTTTCTCAAGTTCTCTGGGGTCAGTGACAAGAACTTGGACACCTAGCTGCATTTTTGTCTTCTGGAGATTGAAGTCAAGGCAAGCAATCCTTGCAGGTGCAACTCTAATCGGCATCCCTTGAGCTGCTCGACCTGTATTTAGAGCATAACCATTCAACAGATAGCTATCTTTTGCACTCTTTCCATGAGCTTTCAAGATGTTGATTCCCTGCAACACCAAAAAGACAGAACCAAAAGTATAAAAGTCTAGTTCAACAAATCCTTATCCTCATACTCTTAATCAAGGACTCTGGCTCTACTCCTTAATAACATCAAGTTCAATTTAGAAGATTTGTCTATCAATAGCCAATGATATCTTTTTATAGTTCCACCTCGATTTGTCATCAAGGAGATGCCATGAAGGTTAAGAAGGGGGTTGAGGAAGAAAAATCCATGGGAGCCTAGTTGCAAAGGGGAAGAGAAAACATTTAAAATCCTTATATCCCGTTCATCTCTTTCACTTTTAAGAAATAATATCTGATTTCTCAAGGACCAAAAGAAATAGGCTCATAATATTGCTCTTCTTGAACACAAAACCACAAAAGCATACTTTCTTGAACTCGTTTAGACCATAGAGAAAGCAAAGGAGCAGAAAGCATCAATAGTTTCCACGACAAAGTAATAGCCAATGAGGTTCCCAAGCTAGAAACCTTGAAATAAACTAAATCCAAAATTCGTCATCCTCTCTCTTTCTTAAAGTAAAAAAAAAATCAAATTTTTCTCATGCCACAATTATCAATGGCCGGAAAAGATTGAGTCAATCCAAGTATCCATAGCCTTGTTTATAAAGGAGCAAAAACAAGTCGAAAAACAATTATTAAATTCCCGACTGTAGCACAGGAATTTGCACCGCTGCGGTCAATTATAAATCTTTGTTGTCTAACTAAAAACTTAAAAAAGGATCTTACGAGGAAATAAACAATATTTAAGCATTTCCAAAAGCCCAATTGGAGAAATAAACCAAATAAATGACAAACCTTAATTGGGTATTTGATTTCTCCCCTTGCATTGGTCATCTTAACCGCTTGCACTGCATCTACAACCTAGAGACACAACGATAAATGCAAGATTTTAAGAAATAAAATAAGGATCAGAAGCTACTCTATTACTCCATTATCCTAGCAAGTTCAAGGTAAAACTGATTATGTATAACAGGTAGTAAAGCAATCATGTATAACAGTTAGTCAAGCAACCACAGGCAACACTATTATACATAAAAGACCTCAAAATCACCGCAATAAAATTGGAGAGATTCTTTTTTTCTTTATYGATAAGATATAGAGAAAAGTTATATATTCCAGAAAAAGACGAAGAACAACCTAAGGGCCGGGGTGTAGGACAACCCCCTTCCATAAAATTGTAAGAAGTACTCAAACTCGGTAACAAGTAACAACTACAAGGACCAAGAACTTACCAAGTTTGCAAAGAAGTCACTATCACTTGTAATCAACTTGGAAGACATGCTTGTCTTGGCACAGTTTATTAGTGAGTCTTTTCCCAACCTTTCAACCTGACCATCCACGTTTAGTGATGTCAAAGAACTGTCTATTTTTGGATAAGAAACAAGACTTCCACTGTAAGGGTAAGGTACAAAAGCGAGAAATACAAAAAGGCTTTGAGTCCACTCCACAAACAAGAGAGCTTTTTTTAGAATAAACTACTTGATCCAATTGGCATTAATTGGGAAAAAGAAACCCCTTACAGAAAAGAAGCAGAGAGAATACAAAAGATTGAAAAAAAAAGGAAAAAAAATAGCCCTCCAACTCAACCCAATTACTTTTTAAAAAAACTACACTTTTAGAAACATTGAAGACAAAAAATGAATAAGTTCATCCACTAATAATGATGATGTTAAGAAGGACCTTATAGAACTTTCTTTAAAAAAGTAACGAGGAGTTGAGCATGATTTTTTTGTGGTAATATTACTTTATCATACATTTATTATTGGTATATTTTTTTTAATTAAATTAAGGCTGGCACCCCATTATTGAAAGATTCTTAACCGACAAAAAAAAGTTTGTGAACAACATTGTACACTAAAAATCACAGATACGAATATGACAAGACATGGATACGGTGACACATCATTTTACAAAAATATAGGACATGAACACGTCAAGGACACATTTATAATAAAATATACAATTTTTTAAAGTATATATCATTTTTATACCATAAGGAAATCCAAACTTTTTATATTGTCCTATGTTACCATTTATGTCTATTTCTTATGTTTAACAAGGGTTCGATACATGCTTATAATAAGTGTCAAAACCATATTCACTTTGTACCACTAGTGTTGGATACATGTCCAATAAGTGTCCGACACGAAAACGTGACCCAAATTGAAGAGTTCATACTTCTTAGATTGTACCCGAGTCCATCCATGTCATCAGAAGCGGATAGCGTATGGTTTACATAATATATTTATGAATGCAAATCATCTTCAACAATTATACAAAGATATTTTACTATAAATGCATCACCTTTACAGCCAACTTTTCTTCGACATACTTGCATGCTTCCCTCATGGCAAGCTACCAGCACCAAGAAACATAGAAGCGTATAAATATAAAATACTAAAATCAACCCTTTAACAAAACACTCACACCAATAGAAAACTAGAGCTACAAACCTACAAAAAAGAAAAACTAAGAAAAACTTCATTAGGATGAAACAAAAGAACAAAGATTGCTTACTCTGTACCCACTAATTATAGAAGTTGGATGAATCTTGTTCCTCACCAAATCATTAGCTCTCTGAAAAGATACAAGGAAAAAGATGAAGTTTTATGTGGCCATGATAATAAAAGATAATTTCTTAAACCTTGAGCATATCAAGTACACTTACCTTGAGCAACTCTGCAGCTACAATGACCACTGAAGTTGTGCCATCTCCAACTTCTCGATCTTGGAGTTCGGCCAACTCCACTAGCACCTAAAAAACATATAAATCAGCATTGACCATATAATATACAGAAAAGATAATTGTAAAACATAATGCATATAAATGTAAACAGGGTATTTGCCCACCTTTGCAGCAGGGTGCTCTACTTCTAACATCTTGAGAATTGTGGCACCATCATTAGTGATTGTAACATCGCCAATATCATCCACAAGCATCTGACACAAATTTTTTATTAAAAAATTTAATAGTTTACATTAGACCCTTCAAACACATAAATTGAGATGATAGAAAGGCTTCTAAAGGAGAGACGAGAAAGGTTAGTAAGAATCATTGTTCAATCCCACTCTTGATAAAACATAATCCTAAGAGATTCAGACGTTTTAAACATTCCTTCTCTTATTTGGAAGCTTCTCAACTTACAGACAATAAGTAAATTTCAAATAATTCGAAAAAATCTCAGCAATTAAATTTGCAGAGTATCATACCTACATCACACATGAAATTTTCATCAAAATTTACTAAAATGAATACAAGGTACATACTCACTGCATCTTAATTCCGAAATGCTAAAAGTAGTGCCATTAGCGAGAATCTGCAACCTCCTAATATAATAAATTGGAAATTGAGGCAATACCTTATCAAGGCCAACAGGTCCAAGCGAAGATTTCACAATGTTGGCAACTGCTTGACAAGCAACAACTGAAAACCCACCAAACAACTCAAATGAGTAATTCACATAAGTCTCTAACCAGTTCAAGATATAAAAGAACACCCCATGTGTAATAAAAAAAAGGCATCACTCTAGCTAAAATTAAAAAACTAAAATAAGGGAGAGAGAGAGAGAGAGAGAGAGAGAAGTGAAAAGTTTTAAGATTTACCATTTTGGGTGCGGACATCCTGACCAGATTGTCGCTCGCCCAATATATCAGGGGTTTGTGAAGCAATAGCCATCTCTTAGTGTCCTCTTGAGCTTGATATAAAGTAAACGCTAAAGAAGTACTCAGAACTGGTAAGAAAGGATTCGAAGGATGTTATTAATGCTTCTTGAGCATCAAAAAACACAGAGAAGTTTAAGGGGATGCTAATACTCCATAACCTTCATAATGTACACGTAGATCTTACTGCCTTAGAATTTATATTATCATAGACTAATAGAACAAAGAAATAGATATTCAATTTCAGCCTTAGCCTTAACATTTGTGTTTTAGTGGTTCAGAACATGCCTCTAAAACATTAGTAGGTGTCATTCCATTGTTGAACCCATTCTATATCAAATAGATCAAAAAACAACATTCGACAAATATGAGAACCCAGTAACTTGAAGACAAAGGAGAGTGGTAAAAAAATTTCAATTCACTTTCAAATAAATTTGTTTAGAAGKAGAAAGGTCATACGAGTAAATTTAGATCCTTTTGCAGGAGCGTATTTATGGATCTTAACATTGCCCAAAGGCCAAATCTTTACATGGAGTCGTAGATAATCAATAAGTAAATAAATAACGGTAGAGCAAAGTAAAAAAAAAAAAAATAGAATTCACCAAGCTCGAAACCTAGTACTATGATTCACAAGGGACGGACGGCTTCGAGGCGGCTGGTGATTTGAGGCGACTAAGCACAGTAACTTCCGAAAAATGAAGCGTGTAATACATGAAGAAGAAAGATTCCCCAACTACGCGATGCACTGACACTAAGAGAAGACGCTCACGCAGCAAAAGAGGCCTGAAATGAGGTGGAACCTAACTTCAAAGTATAACAGGGCTTCGGCTAGAAGAAAGTAGGCATCCATTGCCTAATTTCTCTGATAAATTCCACATTCAAACGACATTTTCGAAGCGTTGGTAAGAGAGAGATGGGGTTTAGCAAAATCCTAAACAGACATTCAATGGCGATTACAGGAATCGTGAAAGAGCAAATCTAAAACAAACATTTCATCACGAACAAACCTCGAAGCAGCCGAGAACCGTGAATGCGATTGCAAGCGAAGAACGATCCAGTGAGAGATAGAGCAGTCGGGATTGAGGGGCGGCTTGAGAGCTGAAATATTGCAGGAGATGGAGACTGAGGTGAAGGGCGGGAAGCGTAGAGTATTGCGACTTGCGTAGGGTTATAAGTTATAACTCATGAGTTTGATTTTCGCTTTTTTTTTACTTTTTTTTTTCCCTTTTCTTTTAGTTCAACTTTCATGTTTTAAGCAAGGTTTTAAATGTTGTAGTTTGATTTTACCTTTTCATTTCTTTTATTTTTTTCGTTTTTTTAGTTTAAAATAGTTTTAAGCAAGGTTTTAAATGTCACTCGTAGTTTAATTTTACCTTTTCATTTCTTTTATTTTTTTCGTTTTTTAGTTAAACTTTCATGTTTTAAACGATATTTTAAATGTAGATGTCAATAAAAGTATCAATGTAATGTTAATTGAAATATCAATAAAATATGGTGGGGAGGGATATTTTTTTAAAAATTATAAAAATAAAGAAATTCGTAAAAATTATATAAATTAAACAAATACATATTTTATCACTTCTATCAAAATTAAAAATAGTTATATTAATATATGTTTATATTAGTAATGTTTTGTTGATATTTTTCGTATTTTATCAAATTTTTGTAATATTATTGAAATGTCAATTTATCTATTTTGTTGATGTCAAACTTATGAATATATGAGAATGTCGATGAATATGTTAACGGATATGTCAAATTTATGAGTATATGAGAATGTCGATGAACATGTCAACGGATATTTAAAACTATATTTTTAAGTTGGGTTATCTTGAAAAAATAATAATAATAATCCTCCCAAAAAGAAAACAAAACTTTATTGTTATTTCAATTTTTTAACCTCGGCAGGCATATATTTTTAATGAAAATATGGGAATAAGTTTAAATTATGGTCCACACGTATTCTCCAACTTAGAGAGAGAACAAAAAAATCTATTTTATTTTCTTACTTTAAACATATATATAAATAAAAATATATATATATTTTTGGGTCAAGCAAAGGCATAATGTAAGCGTCATTTTCACTCGTATTCTAGCATCTTAATTCTTATTTGATAATAAAAGTTTAAATTGTGCAAATTTTTCCAGTGTTATTAACTACTCATATTAACACTCGCCAATATATCGTTATATTACATTCTTGTTAACTACCAATATATTATATTAATAGATATAAATAAAATATCCAACTAAACAATCTTTTTTTTTTTTAAAACAAACTAAACAATTTTATTATTCTCTCTGTAGTTATACTAAAAAAAATCATATTCTCCCCTACCCACGTAAAATATATATGTATGAAGATTAGACTATGTAAATGAGATTTTATCATTACAAATTAAGCCATTAATTAAAATTTTGCTTTAAGAAAAAAACGTTTAACTAATAAATAATTTTTAAAATAAAAAAAAAACCAAAATTTTTTACTGCATGAACTCGATCCCACAAAAATTCATTAGAAATCCGACAAGATGGTGAAACTGCCTAACATTTATATCTTAGTATGCTTGTTATATTCTAACTGCTACTCAACAAGGTAGACCCAAAATATACAGCAACCAACCGTTGTCAAGGCTATAAAATACATTAAAAAAAAAGTTAATAAAAAATATTAATTTCATTTGAGTAAGGTATAAATTGAAACACCTATCCGAGTCTAATTTAATGAAATTAAAACTTGATCGTAAAAATTAACGCACCTTGCCGATTTATAATATTGAAAATAACGAGTTTACTCACAAAAAATATATTTTTATCTATCATGCTACGTACAGGAAGGTCGAGTCGCACAGTCAACTTTTAGTTGAACTAGTTAATACATATTAACAACCAAAATGTTCAAACTTATTATCCACCAAAATGTCAGAAGTTCAAATCTTCACACCACATGATATTGAAGTCAAACAAAAGATGTCAAAGTCATGCATTAAGATGACTTTTTCTTCCCAAATAACAAACTCAACGAGTACGTGTTGCCCTTCTTAGCAGCCGCTTCAACACGATTCCCGCCGATCTACAAGTGAATTTTACGTACATATACGCAAGATAAGGATGGGACAATTTCTGAGAGTGAGTAGACTTGTGTTTTAAACTCAACATGTAAGTTGAAAACATGGGGAGTGGCTTAAACTCGTGTTAAATGCAATACAACAGTTCTAAGACGAGAATTGTAAAATAATACAAATAACGCAGTTGCAGATTTGAAGACAGAGAATACCTTATCCATGAGCCAGTAGCCGATTGTTGGCATGTATTGGACCAAATACATAACAGCGAGGACGGGCTATAGGAATTAAACAACAGACCAAATGTCAAATAATAATTAGAAGATGAACTTCTTTCTCAGAAAAAAGATGAAACAACTTTGATAGTAACAAGTCAAATAAGAAGAAGAGGAAATAAATATCGTTACATGCTTTCCAATATTAAAGAAAGCTAAGATATTAGCTTGACAAGTACAGGATCCGCTGTTTAGACCATTTGCCTCGGTACAATTATAATCAAGATTCATTAGTCATCAATATCAATGCAAGTAGCAACCAACCATTCCATTTTACATGCAAGGTGCATGGCAAGCTTTTTAGTCCCCGAGCTTTTAAAGTGATGTCTAATAAATCTTTGAACTTTAAAAAATGGGTAATTGGTCTTTAAACTTTCAATTAGTCCTAAACCTTCCAATTTTGTGTATAATAGATCCTAGGTTAATTTTCTAGAACCTATTAGACATAAAATTGAAACATTTTGAACTTGTTAAACGAGAAATTCAATTTTATGTCGAACATGGCCTTGAATTTTTGAAAATATCTAGTAGGTTAAAGGACTATCAAACGTAAAATTGAAAATTCAGAAACGTACTGCACGCTTTTTAAAGTCCAGGAACTTATAAGGTTCAATGACCAAACTTATAATTTAACTATTTTTGTTGTTTTAATTTCAATGACATTGGGTGGATCAATATGTTTTGGATACCTGATATGATATCCAAACTTCTTTAAGATTATGGCTAGCAGCAATAATTGTTAGCTCAGCACATCTTTCTGATGAAAGCCGTTTCTGCAAGAAAAATAGAATAAAGAATACTCAACATGAGCTTTCTGTCCACCATGTTATGGCAGCTCAAAGGGACAACAGCTACAGAACAAGCAGTAAAACCTCTGAATAGAAAACAGAACCGTATGTGAAAGATTTTATATATTTAGTCTTCGAGCACATATCGATCTTCCTTACAGTGGTAGTATGTAGATCCACTCATATCTAGCAAATCCACAATACTGCCCTTATCCAATTTAATAGATTATGCAAAAAACTATACAACCAATAACAAAAAATATTTTTTTTAAATCAAATCTAACAATAGTTGATATGAGGGAGAGAGAACCATGTCCAACATGATTGACATAAAAGATAAATTAGATCCACATACCTCAGATACACCTTTCTTCCCCATAGCTTCTGAACTTGAGCTGTTTGATGTTTCGATCGGTCCAGGACAAACAACAGTCACTCTAATTCCTTTATGGTAGAGCTAAGATTCCCCATTGTAACAATGTAAAATAAGAAAAGATGCATGATTATAAAAGAAAAGGAAAGGTAGCAGAGAAAAGGTACGAGATTTTTTAAACAAAAATTTTGGAACGTCCTCAAATCCAACATCAAGAAGGTATTCCAGGATTACTTGAGTTCTTATTATTGCAAAACATTAAAACTGAGTTGAGAATATCCTACATGTTAATCTAATGAAATAGACATGTCCACTCATAAAAATCGAAGATCTACCCCCTTCATATGACCTAAGCCATAGTAACGTACCTAACTTGAAATGTCTGCTATTGCAGGAAACAAATCTATTAAACATGTCATTCTAATCCACGGTCTCATAAAAAATATATTTTCAAATTCATACAAAGGATACTCTTCAAAAACTAGGAAACCAGTTCCTAATTTTGGTTGAGTCTATCCAAGTATCGGAAGGAGTGATTCTTATTCCATCATTCCCAACAGGTAAATATGCCATTATTATAATATCAAAACAAAACCACAAAGACATTAGGTTCATCATTACCTCTGATCGTAAAGAATGAAAATAACCGTTCAGAGCATGCTTCGATGCAGAATATACAGCCTGTCCTGGTGCAGGTGTCTTTCCAGCAGCACTGCTCATCTGCCAAGCAATGCACAAGGAAACAAATTAAAAATCAACAATTCAGAATATACAAGTGTGAGGAAATAGAAGGGAGGAAACAAGATAGGTACAGGAAAATAAAATGATGATGGTCTCCAAATGTGAAATGCTAGAAAAATTATATAAACAACAACAATGTAGCAACAATCACTAACCCAAAAACTACCACTGTCAGATGTGAATCCGATAGACCCTAATCATAAATGTGTATAGAAGAAAAAATGGTACACTAGGGAAGTAATCATGATAAGGGTTTTCTTTTGTTAATTTAGGGGGCCATGTAATTAATTGGCTTTTATTTGGTGGGACCCATATAGGTGGTAGTGGCTAAACCCGCCCAAAGTAGCGGTAGGAAACTATATATTGGTCAGTATGCGTCAACAGGAGGCATCTTGGAAATATTTTATTGGTTAGGGTTAGGAGAGGGGAGCTCTCAAATTCTCCCTAGGCTTGTTTCTTCTGCATATTTGACTAATAAATTGAGATTTATCAGAACCATCCAAGAATGTTGATGAGGATGAACAGTCATTCTCATTGTATAAATTAACTGACATGAGGATTTTATCTGAATATTAGGAGAGAATTTGAAGATAGAACTGGCAATAGACGTTTGTAGTTGTAGCATAATAGCATAAATTAAAGGTACAGCCACAATGATCTGCTCATATCAATTTAAGATGCAACAATGGATATAAGTAAACAATGGAAAAGCATAACGTAGTATCAGTGGCTTCAACTCACAACAACAAAATGACCTCGTCCTCGACGTAACATAAAAGGTGCAAGAAGCCGAGTGAGAGATATGGTCCCCAGAACATTAACGTCAAACGTTGTCTGCTTGTAATAAAGAGAAAACAATAAAAATAGAAAGACATAATAAACAAGCACATTATATATCAGTAACAAAAGTTAATAATATAAACAGAAAGATAACAAAGAAATGACACGAACATATCTTGGTAACCAAAAGAGGAATAGTACTGATAATCATATCAATCCATTTCAATGAACATTCTCCCCCAATCAATAACAATAATTAGAAATCACTCTATGGTCCAGAAATAAAATTGTGTGTGTCACTAGTTTACTCCTCCATACCTTCAGACTTTCCTCTGATACATCCAAAGCTGTTGTTTTCTGTAAAAAATAAACGAACATAGATATCAAGAAGGAGACAAATAAACAGAGCATATGGAGCTTTCTATACATGAAATCATGAGAATTAAATGATGAGAATCAATCATGTCCTTCGTGCACAAGGTATACTCCATAGATTTGGTTGAGTCAATTTCAAGCATTTTATAGTGCCAATCTAAATTCTATAGTTGACAGCAGATTCAATCTGAATGAACCAAATTTACAACCTGACATGCACTCCAAAAGGATTGGGTTGGATTGAGCCAGGTTATCACTTTTGCCAACTATCAAAAAGGAAAAAGATAGAGGGGGGGAGGGAGGATGGACAGAGGCACAATAACTCATTTTGTTTTTCCCCATCCAAAATTCAGCAGTATCATCATAAATCCAACAAACATATCACAATTTTAGCAAAAAAGAAAGGGAAAAAAATCCAGATAACACATTTGTTGTAGTACAACTGTAGGAGAATCAAAGTAAAATCAGAAACCCATCTGAAATTAGCTAGCAAATCAGACAATTGTACCAGAAACAAAAGGAGACGATATTCGAACACTCAGGCAGTTGAAGATCAGGTGTGGGAGTGTGTGTTGCATAGTGGTCCCTACCTGATTTTTGTAACAGGCTAGCGTGGCAAGCAATAGACCACATAGGAAGGGGGTATTTGGCGTGGGATTGGAGCCCTTGCATGGGTATGGGGTTATTTTGTGTTTTGGCTAAGAATTCCTTCTAAGGAATTGGGGGTCGGAGCTCTAAGAGCTAGGTACTTTGTTCTTGCTGATTTTATTTTCTCCAAAGGGATTTTCACATATAGGCCTTTTGGTTCCTATCAGTATCACATGCTATACCATTAACAGCCCGTTTGGATCTTAGTTATTGTTGGATGGGTATGGATATTGAATATCTAAGAGTTAAATATATAAGATAATAAATATCTATATGCAGGATAAATAATGTCTAAACTCTAAAGTTAAATATTTGTATTTGTTTAACGGATATAGCTTATGAAAATTGAAATTAATTAATTAAGTATAAAATATTAAACTAATGCTAGTCAATTATTTTATTTATTCATTTAAATTTATCTTATTTAATATAAAGGAGATCTATAATGTAAGAAATCAATATTTACATGTACAACAAAGCATGGACTCTTGCCTATATGCCTCAACGTGATTACTTGTCTGCTGATAGTCATAGGCTAGTTTAGAACCAAGTGTACATGCTCATGAGAATAACACAAACATTGAAAATTGACAACTAGCATTTCTCAAATAGGTTCGTACACTTGTTCGGAGAGAGAGAAAAAAAAAAAGCATTTCTCAAATAGGACAAGATCAAACTTTCACACAAGGTGTAATGTGAATATCTTCCTCAACATATTTCAAGATCTTAGATGATTAATTAAACTCCGTGATTCCGTTAATCAAGTCAAGATATTACCTACATGTTATTAGTAACTTACTGGACGCTCAAAAGCAGCATTATGGATCAAATAATCTACACCACCGGGAAAAAGGGATTCTGCTATCTCTACAGCCTCTTTCAACTTATTTTCCCCGGATGCCAAATCTAAAGGTAAAACTTTCACGTCATTAGGTGCAAATTTACCTGTGACGGACCAAAAGCAGCTTTAGAGTGAGGAAAAAATATTTGACCCAATAAGAAACCTCCTTTCAGAAACTTTTATGCAAAATAGCAAACCAGAGAGCTGTTTCTTCACTCTCTCCAACCCAGCTTCATCCCGAGCAGAAATGATGAGCTTGGCCCCTAAACCAGCAAGTTGTTTTGCAAGAACCTCCCCTGAAGCCACCAGAAAAATATGACGATAATAAAAATGTCAAATGAAATAAACAATAGTAATCTTACAATCGAGCATTAAAGCAGACAATGTAGCAGAAAGTTTCATGATCTAGTAAAGCTTAATATTTCAGATACTTCAGCGAAATAAAGTTTCACAAGAATGTTCAGTAAATGGAACAAATTAAATTTTAAGAAGGAAAAGTGTACTACGTGATAAAGATTAAAGAATTCATAGATATCTCCAGTCAATCTTTCATTAAATATATCCATAATACAAGGAAATTCATTAAGATTATTATCCATGCATTTATATTTGATAAAGAATTACTAACCCAAAAGAATTAATTTACAGGTAAAATGCATTTGTATTTATCCATGGAGATGTGCACATTTTAAGGCATACATACATATCTTCATTTCTCAAAACAAGTTCTTATGAAACTTCAATAATCTAACAGGGAAATAAATCTTTAACGTAGTGATACTGAATCTCAACTTTAAGTAGTGAAACGAGAGGTATGTTTAATATGTTCTTGAAAGAATTTTCTTGGAAGGAAGATTCAGGAACAACCAGCCTAAGGTCATAAGCACAGAGTGAAATGAATGATGGGATGGATCAAATTTTACTTTTGCAATAGTTTGTAGAGAATCTGATCAGTATCACATAACTGCTATAGCTAAAAGATGAAGATGAAAATGAAAATGAATCAATAGTTCAGTACCACTTGAAAACACACCATAAAACTGCCGAACACAGACCAATCTCGCAACGTAGGGTAATATGGTTCTAAAATTAGAATCTGAGCAGTAATAATCTAACTTTAATTCGATGAGGATCATTTAAATTCTTTCCTCGAACCCCCAAGGCAACTCTTTAAATGGTCATGTTCAGACAACATAACATCAATTCAATCCAAGTACAATAACTAACACGCTACAAAGAATTTTAAGAATGCGAAATCTTAAGTACCAATTCCTCGGCTAGCACCAGTAATCCAAACGACCTGATACGGTATAGTTTAATACATCAGAAAATAACGAACATTATTAGTCTCATGAAGAATGAGTATTTGAAGAAAAACATAAGTTCCGCTACAAAACACGAAATTATCTAACCTTATCTTCAATTTCCTCTCGCTTGACATGCTTTTTGGACATTAAAGTGAAGTCGCCTGTGGATATGAACAGAGAAAACAAGGCAATAAAGCCAAAGAATGAAACTCATAGACATTTCTAACTAATCAAATTCAACAGTGGAATGAAATTTGCAACGATAATTACCATGACCGGTAGCGAATCTGAACAAGAGAAGAACGAGGACGAGAGAGACAGAGCAAAAGACGATAACTAGCATTCTTCACTTCTCTCAAGTCTCACTTGGAGATGGAATGAACGCTGGGCTCAGGTGTTTGTATAGTATAGTGTAAAATAAAAATAATAATTTTTTTTATCATATAGTTAAATTACAAGTCGAATACTCCATAAAAAAAATAAATACAAAAATACAAATTAGAATACCGAAATTTCAAGGTGAATTTAATAGGTGATTGCGATTAAAAAAGTTTTTAATAATTCCTCCGGCCTCAATAACTAGTATACCAATCGGAGGATGACTATACTTTATGTTCGATTGAGTTCAAATCTYCTACTTCTGGATATTGTATTAAAAGAAATTGGCTGTAGTTTTGAAAAAATATATTAATAATGTATTAACTCAAAAAACATGAATTTAATGAGACCAACTYTATTATAAAATTGAATTTGATTAATTAAATATTTTCTCAACACTTACAAATTTTAATCTTTCAAATTTTAATCTTTAATGTGTTTTTATATGAATTTTATTRAATTTATACCAAATATCTGTTTTATAATTCATTTGAGCATGATATTACTTTTTGCAATAATTCTTTTAATAAAAACACATCGTGAGGTAAAAATTGCAACATTGTACTATATTAAAAGGCAATGATCTTTTTTYAAACATTTTTAGATGATACTAACTCGTGTTTGGTGTGAATTACAAGGTACCATTTTAATTCCCAGTAAATCCTAATTTCCCCCGGACCATTAAATTTAATTAATAAATAAACGAAAAATAAATTATTTGTAACTTCCAGTTAATTACTTGCACAGCAATAATGATAAGGTGGGACAACCACATTTATAATTTTATTTTTTATTGTCATAATTATTAAAATAAAAACGGTTGACTGTTAACATTGCACRTGGAGTATATAAATGAAATATCATCACAACTCTCCAAATCTGAGTGTGAAGAATTCATACTTCCCAATTTTTTCCTTTTTTCTTGTTTTTTTTTTAGAATATAGACTAATCACATTTCTTGATTATTGATAAAATAAAATAACATCTCTACTATCAAATAATTTACAGAGTATCAAACTCCAAAAATCCAACTATGAAGAAAGTTACATGAGGAGTCTGCTGAATTCATCAAATTCAGGTACACAGTGCTTTTTTCTTTTTTCTTTTTTTTTTGGTTTAAAATGCACTACTGATACTCATCAGTTATCAACAAATAAAATAAAAACCACCGCTGTCAAAAAAGGTACATAAGTTTAATGTTGCTTTTTAAACCCAAATTAGACTAACCAACAAGAGGAGACAAGAGAGAGTCCAAATTGATTGGGTTTTTTTGTATGGGCTGAGTTAGTTCACGTGTGTATTTAACAGATTTTGGAGAGAGACTAACAAGGCAAGATGATTTTGAACAACACTTTGTGCAAGAGAATAAAATTTATGTGATAAATGAATATAGGAGAGGTTGAGGGGAAGCACTATTAATTATAGAACTCGGCAAAGACTATCACAAATTGTGAGGCACATTTTTTATGGGAAAAATATGGTACCTTTACGAATTTTAAAATTTAATGACAGTYACGGATTGTCACGAAATGATTTTTTTATTTATTTAATGACGGTGSAAATTTGTCACAAAATTRTGGAGGAGCGATTTTGGTGGAAGAAACGGAGATTTACGATTGTTTCAATGTTTTATAAGGTTTCTGTAAATGTCACGAAATGTAGATAGAGCAAGGACAAAATAAGTATAACATCGACATATAACAAACGACTAGTGATGACGATGATGAGAGAATGAGGGAGCTTGATACCTCACCATCACTAGGGGTGTTCACGGGTTGGGTTGCATCGGATTAAACAAGTTTTTTGGACAAACCATCTAATTCGGATAGGTGAGTTCATCGACCCGATGAAATCGAAACTTATAGCCAACACAACCAACCCTATATATCTGAGTTAGGTTGGATCGAGTCATCAAGTTCCAATTTTTTCTTTATTTTTCTTTAGTATTGATTCGTTTATTATGATAATTGAGATTTAGGTTGGGCTAGGACGAATGTCGGATTGCAGTGAAAGACGACGAACARAAGCAAGTTCAAAGCATGCAACAATGAAAGGCGCCGAACAACAACATATATGGCATGGATAGTTGCGAACGACGACAAATAGAAGCTTATATGGTGCAGACTGCATCGAAATGCAATGAACAACGACATATATGGCACATACAATAGCGACCTACGACGAACAACATCAAACATATAGCGAGGATAGCAGCAATCAACGACAAACAACAGTAGATCTGGCGAAGGACAACAATGACTGGCGACAAACATCGTCAGATATGGTGGTGGAYAACAACAAACGGCGACGAACAGTAACACGTGATGTCAAATAGCAAACAGAACATGAGATTATGGGAGAGGTGAGGATGGGATATYGAGAGCGACATACAAATTTGAGACCGAGGGAGATGTGAGAAGGGAGAGGGAGATGGGAGGAGATAAAAAGGGGMAGCTAGGATTTCGTTTGTAATATATAGATTAAAAAGCAAGTGTGCCACCAGTGTCATAATTAAAAAAAAAAACATGGCACCAACAATGCTCTGAGCATGAAATGATATGGGTCMTCTCTTCAATTTTTCAAGCATTATTTTTAAGAAATATTTTGGTATATGATATATATTTGGAATAAGTTTAAAATAAAACGTATTAGTGTTATATGTTATATAATATATACCTCTCTACAAGTTGTATRAGTAGTACTGATTTTCCAACTATTTTACGACAGAACATTATATAATATATACCTTTTCTTTTAATATGTTTTATGATAAATATATACAAAATATTAGGTTTTATAATAAGTATATATTGCATGTATTCAAAATATATTCCATATACTTACATGGAACATATATGAAACATATATTTTGTAACAACACACAATATAGACTCCACTAAATATGTAGTTATTCTTATTTTTTAAAAAAACGAGAAACTCTATATTTTTAAGTAGCCAGCTCCCCCTAGGTGTTCCCAGCCGCTAACCCTTCCCCATCGGCGACGACTTTTTGGTGACTGCAATATCCCGATGGCCCATCGTTCACAAATGCTGACGACCAAGGAACCAGCTCAGTGACAATCAACGACAACATGATGAAGAGATTTGACGGCACATCTCCCTGACGACTTAGATCTGCAACTATTTCCTCCTTTAGCAACCATGCAAACAACAGTGACGCAACACGAGACGACCACGAACGACAATTTGCAGCAAACTACGACGCTCGAATCAGATCTGCAACCACCGACGACGCTCCACAAACAGCATCCCACAAACCCGTCAATTAACATTCGTACATGATCAACAGCAAGCAACCCACAAATGCCAGTGAAAAAAGCAGTGAGATGCCAAGATTGCTTAACCCCTTAGTTTGGGATTTATGAGAATTTTCAAAATAATTTTTAAATCATTCCGGGTGTTTGGTTGGATTAAAAAAATAAAATTTGAAATCTCGTTTGTCCCAACAAATTTTCCATCCAAAATAGGTCGGATTTGATAGGATTTTAATTGAAAGTTGACCATATTACAATTTTGCCATGTTTAATTGAAGAAATCAAACTGAACCAAAAAAAAAAAGAACGAGACCAACGTGCAGAGAATGAGATAAAAATAAAAATGAGGATGAGGATGAGATGAAATAAAAAGAGAGAAAACGGAGAAGGAGGTATAAAAAGAAGAGAGAAAAGACCGATATAGAAAGATAAATGGAGAAGAATATGAGATAAAAAGAGAATAAATAAAAGGGAGAAGAAGGTATAAAGAGAAAAGAGAAAAAAATGAGATGAAGAAAGAGAACGAATACAAGAAAAAAATGGAGGCAATAAAATAAACCTCGAGAACAAGTGTGAGCAGGATTTTGATACGAAGAAGGTTGTTAGGATTTTGTTTTATAATTATAAAGACATAATGATAAAATAAATATTGCCATCATCCAAACAAAAAAAATGTTTCTTTTTTTCTTTTTCAATACAATACATGATTGTTACTGTAATTGACGTTTGGGCTTCTATTATAAAGGGTCAAACTTAGATATTTGTGGAATTTTTAATAAAATAGGACAATTTTGTAATTAAGATCTCGAAAGGAAGTAATTGTGTACTTTAACCTATTTTATACTAGCAGCCCAACGATATTAGGTCGAGGGCCCATTAAATACGAAGACAACCCAACGCTAAATAATGGCCACTAAAGATGCAGCCATTTTAGGGCTCTCTAAAACCATCTATCTTATAGATACTTCATTGTTTTTAAGAAACTTGGGAGGTTCATGGGACGGGGACAGTGCACGTACCTCCCAGACATAGGGGCAAAAAGGTCATAAGACCACCAACTCCGAGAGAGTAAACAAAATTACTAATTATACTTATATATATATATATTTTCAAATTCTCTCATTCTACCATCATTCCTAACTCTTAATTAGAAAAATAAATTTATTTACAATTATTTTTGCAGAAGCGATTTAAATACAAGTTATATCGTTTTCTTTGAGTGATTTTCATATAATTGAAGTAATTTTGATTTTTTAATGCTTGGTTTCATATAACTAGTAATGTCTGTAAGCACAAATTATATAATAAAGACATTAACGAGACGTAAGAAGTTTTGCAATTTCTACTCCTCTCCATCTCTCTTGCATGCGTAAAAGTTTCAGTTTATACAGTAACATTTGACTCGCTTCTTTCATCACCGACGGAGGCAAGTCTTCATTGTCATCGTAAGGTTTGAATTCAACATCATTGTAGAACAACATTGTATAAAATTATGAAGTATCATTAATGCGACAACAGTCTTCACTTATTTTTCAAAGTGAACATGATGCATAATGTCCACAAAATTATAAAGTTCTATTGATGCAACTCGTTTCTTACATCACTTGTTTTTCAACAATTTTTACGGGTGAAAGTGAAGAAAACAAAATCGTAGGAGAGATCATCTTACGTTTAGAAACATAAGCATACTCCTACCGATGTGAAAAATATATTGAACTAGTAATCAATTCACACAGA